CATCTTGTTTGTTCTCCCCACGGATTCAGTTTTTAAGTTTTTTAAGAACTTGTCTACACTGGCTACACCATTTTTTACATTACCACCAGCAGTGGATGAGTGCTCAGTTTCTCCACATCCTCACCAACACTTGTTATTTTCTGTGCACTGTTTAATTATAGCCATCCTAGAGGGTGTGTGGTGCTGTCTCATTGTGATTTTGGTTTGCATTTATCTAAGAACTTCGATCTGCTGTGTGAGGTCACTATGAGTCCATACCGACTTGATGGCACCTAACAACAACAACAACAACAATGCTTTATGTTTGAGCACCTATTCATATGTATGAGTCATTTGTGTATCTTCTTTAGGGATATGTTTGTTCAAGTTCTTTGCCCCTTTTTAAAATTGGGCTGATTTTTGTTGTTGAATTGTAATTCTTTATAAATTTTGGGTAATCCCTTGACAAATACATAATTCCCAACTAATAGTATTTTAAAGACTAGCTTAACTCTTAACCTTGTCATTTTTTGTTCATGATAATTTTTAGTTGATTTTGTTCAGATTTCTAATTCTTAGTGCTACATAGTGATGTTTCCTCCTCTTTTGTAATGACTAGGCTTTGATGGCACCTTATATGACTACTTTAATGGGTATGAAGATTTAAAAAATAAGAAAGTGCAATTTGTTGGACATGCTAAACAGAGAATACAAGAAGATTATCTTAGAATTTTAAGATATTTCAGGTAAGAATATTCAAAAAGTACATTAACAATGTGCACTGTTTAATAATGTCCTTATCTGAGCATTAATTCTGGCAGTGTGATATGCACAGGTGAGTGTACAATATGATGACATCCCAATGTCTGGCTCCACTGGAGGCATGCCATAGATATATCATGTTGTTAAAGTTCCATTGAGTCAGTTTGGACACATCTTTAATCCCCAAATACACACCGATTTCAACAGCAGAGAGTTGGTTGGTTGTTAATGGTGATCTTTTTATGTTGTTAGGTGCTGGTGAGTTGGTGCTGACTTATATTAACCCTACACACAGCACAACGAAACACCACCCAGTTCTGCCCCATTCGCACAATTTTTGTTACATCTGTGCCCATTGGTGCTGCCACTGTGCCATTCCACCTCGCTGGGGCCTTCTCCTTTTGAGCTGATGCTCCATTTTACCAAGCATAATGTCTTCAAGGAACTGGTCCCTCCTGATAATATGTGCAAAGTGTGAGAAAGGAAAGTCTTGCTATCCTTGCTTTAAAGGAGCTTCTGACTTTACCTCTTTCAAACCCCAACACAGATTTGTTTGTTCTTCTAGCAGTCCGTGGTAGTTTCAATATTCAATACCGTAGCTCAAATGCATCAATTTTTCTAGGGTATTATTATGTACTCTGTCCAACTTTCACATGAAAATGAAGCTATTTTAAATACCATGACTTGGGTCAGACACACCTTAGTCCTCAAACTGACATCTTTGCTCTTGAATACTTGAAAGAGATCTTGTGCAGATTTGCCTACTGAAATACGCGTTGGATTTCTTGACTGCCATTTCTGTAGGTGTTGAATGTGGATCCAAGCAAAACTGTTTGACAACTTCAAAGTTTTCTCCATTTATCATGTTGTTTTTTGTCCAGTTGTGAAGATTTTTGTTCGCTGCATTGAGGTGTAGTCATACTGAAGGCTGTGGTCTTTGATCTTTATCAGTTAGTATTTTAAGCCCTCTTAACTTTCAAGAAGCAAGCTTGCATCATCTGCATATTGCAGGTTGTTAACGAATCTTTCAATCCTGATGCCACATTTTTCTCCATATAATCCAGCTTTTCCCAATTATTTGCTTAGCATACTCTTTGAATAAGTATGGTGAAAGAATGCAGCCCTGGTACACACCTTTTCTGGTTTTAATCCATTTAATCCATCAATCACTTGTTATATTTGAACAACAAACTCTTGGTCTATCTATAAGTTGCTCATCAACACAATCAAATGTCTAATTACCCATTCTTTGCAATGTTATTCATAACTTGTCCTGTTCCATACAGTCAAAAGCATTTGCATAGTAAATGATTTCCACATTCTGCTAGGTTACCTCTCTTTGGAATGGATCTCTTGTGCTGGGTAGCTGCCTTCCAAATTTCTTGGTTTAGATGAATGAGCGTGCCTCTGGTACTGCATCAATTTATTGAAAGATTTCTATTAGTATTACATCTTTTCCTAGAGCATTGTTTTTCCGCCATTGTCAATGTCTTTAGTGCAACTTGAACTTCTTCAGTACTGTTGGTTCTTGAAATGGTTGAACATCAGTTACTTCTTTTTGCTACAATATTCCTTTCATCTTCTGATGCTTTCTCCAGTCAGTATTTTGCCCATAGAATCTTTCAGTATTGCATGTCGAGGTTTGAATTTTTTCTTCAGTTCACTCTGCTTGAGAAATTCTGAGTGTGTTATTCCTTTGTGATTTTCTAACTCCCCAGGTCTTTGAACATTTCATTATAAAATTAGACTGTGTCTTCTTGAGCTGCCCTTTAAAATTTCCTATTCAGCTCTTTCACCTCATTTCTTCCATTTTTCTTTAGCATCTCTACACTGGAGAGTGAGTTTCAGAGTGTGTTCGGACGTCCAGTTTGGTCTTTTCTTTCTTTTCCGTCTTTTAAATGACCTTTTGCTTTCTTCTTGTGTGATATTCTTGATGTCATCCCACAGCTCTTCTGGTCTTTGGTCTATAATTAGTGTCCTGTGCATCAAATCTGTTTTTGAGATGGTTTCTAAATTCAGATGGGATATGTTCAAGGAAGCATTTTGGCTTCTGTGGATTCGTTTTAATTTTCCTTTGCTTCAGCCTGAACTCTAAAATTTTAGCCATTGATGGTGTATTCCCCATCCTGCCCCAGCCTTGTTTTGGCTGATACTGTGGTTTGCCACTGTCTACTGTCACAGATGTTGTCAATTTGATTCCTTTGTATTCCATCTGGCGAGGTCCATGTGTATAATCACGTATGTTGTTTTAAGCGGGTATTTGTAATAAATTTGCAAAATTCTGTTATGCAATCTCCATCATCGTTTCTGTCATCAGGGCCCTCTTTCGACTACTGATTCTACCTTTTTTTTCCATCTATCACCAGTAATTATCAGTACATCTTGATTGCATGTTTGATCAATTTCAGACTGAAGAAGTTGGTAGAATTCGTCAATGTCATCATCACTATTGTGAATGACAGTTGTTTTAACTGATCACTCTTATAGGCATGTGGATACTACCCTAGCACAGACAGCATTGTACTTCAAGACATCTTGAAATGCTTTTTGACAAAGAATTTAATGATATCTCTTCTGAATTTGTTCCTGGCCTTACGAACCAATATTGTCAGATTAAAATGGCCAATACCAGTTTATTTTGACAATTTCCAACTTTCCTAGATTCATTCCCCATTCGAGTTGTGCCTCATCAGCAAATGAAGGGCCTGAAAGTTTGACTCCGTTTGTATCCTCACAGTCAACTCTACTTTGAAAATATTTCCTCAGTTGTATTTTCAGTGCCTTCCAACCTGAGGGGGCTAATCTTCCAGTACTATTATCTGACAGTATTCGGTTGTTTTTCATAAGGTTTTCAGTGGCTATACATTTAGAAGTAGTTGGTCTCAGTCTTAGTCTGAAAACGCCACTAAAATCTGTCCCCATGGGTAACCCTACTAGTATTTAAGATACTGGTGGTGTAACTTCCAGCATCAGAGCAACATGAAAGCCCACCACAGTATGACAAACTGAAAGATGAGGTGGGACCTTTTACAGAATTTTTAGCTTTAAGTCACTTGTTTCTTTCTCATTGAATGGTATGGCTTCTTTCATTACACAAATATTTGAGTGCTTGCCGCAGCCCAACCACATGCTAGGTGCTGGAAATACGAGTCCTGAATGAACATGTCTGCTTCCATAAGGCTTACAGTCACACACACACATACACAGAAATGTAAAGTTGTGCCTATAATATGACCAGTGAAAGAAATCAACATATAAAACATACTTAAAACTTGGTTGAATTTGGTAAACATAAAATATTCAATTGAATAGTTTTGTGGGCAGCAGCAGTTTTTTGAGATTCCAGAAAAGACCCTGGACTTCAGCTAGCTCTTAATTGTTTGAACTACTCTGGATAGTTTCATAAGCAATAATAAAAATGCAATATGAATTATAATTGTCATGACTTAGTCCCTCCCTGAGATGTGGTTTTCTGCCATGTGCTTTGTTTATCTGTGAAGGGCTGCACTTACTGTTACATGCATTGGTGGTAGTCTAATGCAAAAAAAGATGATACAAGAATAGATGTTTCATAAATAGATATTTTTTAACAATTTAAATGAAATTACAAGTACATCACCAAGTATGTGAATATGTCAACACGGAGGCTGTAACTGAGACTTTATGTCTTGTAGGTTTTATGGGAGAATTGTTGAAAAACCTGGTGACCACGATCCTGAAACTTTAGAAGCAATTGCAGAAAATGCAAAAGGCTTGGCTGGAATATCAGGAGAGAGAATTTGGGTGGAGTTGAAGAAAATTCTTGTGGGTAACCATGTAAATCATTTGGTTCATCTTATCTATGATCTTGATGTGGCTCCTTACATAGGTGAGAGCAAATAGTTGTATGTCTGAATTTTGGGCAGTGAAAACATTTCACTAGTTGGGGTATTAAGGGACAGACAGAATATTTTAAAATAAGATACATTTTTGAGGTTGGCACAGGTCAGTTTTGTCATGGGTGTGGAATAGCTAGCTCCGAGAGAGCACACAGAAGAACTGTGCAGTTGGGCATTCAGACAGGGGTCTTGAATGAGGCTTTGCCAGTTTGTTTTATGCCATGGATTACTTCCTTACAGTTTGGTTTCAGAATCTAAAACAGGAGGAGGACAATAATAGCATCTAATAAGAGACCTTAGTAGGAGTCACTGAGTTATTAAATGTACTAAGACTAGTGACTTGTAGTTAGAAATAGTTCAGCATTATAAATGATACTCCTCAGAAAGGGAATATTTATTACACTTGAAGAAATTTGGATATATTATAAATACCCCAAACCAAATCGGTTGCTGTTGAATGAATACCAACTCAGGGTGACCATGTGTATTAGCAGAGACTACTGCTTCACAGTTGTCTTGGCTGTAACCTTTAACAGAGGCTAATTGCCAGACATTTCTTCATAGTGTTGGTAGGTGGTTTCAAACCTGTAAGCTTTACTTCAGTTGTTGTGTGCTGTCGAGTGGTTCCAACTTAAGCAACCCTGTCTAGGGTTTCTGAGGCTGTAAATCTCTACGGGAACAGAAAACCTCATCTTTGTACTGTGGAGCAGCTGGTGGATTGGAACCATCAACCACATGGTAACAGCCCAATGTGTAAGCCACTGGGGCTCTTTTTAGCTTAGTAGCAGAGCACAGTTTGCACGGAGTGAGGTAGGAGGTGGTGGTACAAGCAGGAGTCTGAAATCGAATGCTTCTAACACTTCCACCAGCACTGCCCTGGAACATCTGGTGGTAGGAGCATTTTAGGGCCTCCCCCTAGGTTGTGGAGGGTGACATTGGAGAGGTTCCTAACAGTGTAACAGTGATTCTAGACTTTAAGTCCTTAGTGATAAGGTAGGAAATTTATATTAAATTTATTATCTCCTTTAAAAACTTAATGATTTTGTCTCCACAGGTTTACCTACTAATGCAAGTTTAGAAGAATTTAACAAAGTCAGTAAGAATGTTGAAGGATTTTCACCAAAACCTATGACTCTTTTGGCCTCATTAATCAAAGTACAGGATGATATCATGAAATTGGATTTGAGGTTGAAGATTTCAAAAGAAGAGAAGAATCTTGGTTTATTTCTAATTAAAAATAGGAAGGATTTAATTAAAGCAACGGATAGTTCAGAACCACTGAAACCCTATCAGGACTTTATTATAGATGTAAGTAGCCAGTAACCTTGAGTAGCATCTAGTGAAGTATAACCAACAGGGTCTATGTGGTCAATATGTAAATCATCTGCACTGACTGTGAACTGTTGATTAACTGATAGGTCAAGTTTAGCATCAGACCCCTAGTGTTGTGTGATAAAACTAAATGCTTGATTCTGAACTCAGTCTAGGGAACCTGACGCGACTACTCGTGTGTGTGAACTACTCAAGTACCAAGGAGAGCACTGTCTCCTGAAGGTCATGCAGCAGTGGACCGTTCCTCCATTTCCTGTGAGTGGCCATGACATCAGAAAAGCAGGCATTTCTTCAGGAAAAGAAATTGGAGCTCTGTTACAACAGTTGCGAGAACAGTGGAAAAAAAGTGGATACCAAATGGAAAAAGAAGAACTTCTGAGTTACATAAAGAAGACATAAACGGATGGGCTGGCTACTAAAAGGTACGATGTGTCTGGTACTAGCCTTTTCCCCCACTCCTTTGGCAAGATTCAGAGAGTAAATATGCTGCAGAAGAAAAATTTCCATTTCATAATCTCTACTCAAGTCTACCTCTAAATCTCATTTATGTCACTGAACCTTGTAATTCTTTCGCTATAGTTCTGAGGAAATACACAGTTGACTTACATACCATAGGGAACTACTAAAATTGCTCTTAAAACAGTAGCTGCCTGGGACAAACAATGTTTTCTTTTCATGTGACCAGTGGCAATTTTGGATTTTCAAATTACTAAATATACCTAGAAGTATTTAATACTAAAATATGTATTTAGAACCCAGCTTAGAATTCCTACTACTCTATACAGCAAGCATGCATATTAAAAAACATACCTTAAAATAGTGTTATATGCATGTTTTTACATATCAGAACATTTTATTTGCAAATGTCAGTAAATACTAGAACATTCTGAGCTTACATCCTTTGGGGAAGCAAAGGAAAAACGTTTTCTCACTATAACTGGTTTAGATTTATCAACCAGTGAAATGATTAAATCTAGAAACACAAGCTTATTTTATCACTAAGTAGAGCTTAGAATAACAGTCTTAGGCATATTAAATGAGGCAGCAGACATACCATAAGCAATTAAAACAGCATTCTCAAGCTGCTTTTTTCATTGTTTACGTTAAAATTTGCAACATGGTAATATGTTTCACAAACTAAATATTGATAAGAAAACAAGTTCATTTTTGGATTTCTGGTGTGGCGTGGCGCTGTGGGATAAAGCACTAGACCGCCAGATCAGCAGTTCAATGTCAACCAGCTGCTACTTGACCCTATACATTCCCCTCTGAATTAAGCCACAAAGAGGTAGGTGGCAAATCAGTCTATCTTAAAAAGTTAGATTATCTGCTTATGAGTAGTAGATATTTTACATTATCTAAGAAAAGTGTTTTATTCACTTTATTTTTAAAATTTACTTACAGATTCTCTTCCATTTACACCGAACAAAATAGCTTACAAAATACAATGCCACTTCTAACCTGTATGAAAGGGGGTATGTTTTAGCATTTCTGCCCCACAAAGCTTTATGTATGGAACAGAATAATTGCAGTTACAGTTCAAACAAACACTGAGCAAAATACACAAATATTATTTCTCACTAACACTTGAAATGAAAACTTTATTTTGGGACTTAAACTGCATATTTTAACTCTTCAGTATTTTCAAGATTTACAAATCAGTATCTTAGAGGAGCAAAGCCCTTTAAAAATAATATACACCAACTTGCTTTTCTTTCAAGAAGAGAACGAACCATTTTGTGCTTGGCACCTGAGCTTTTAGGACTTACTTGTCTGAAACACTGATCTAAACATGACTGAGCTCACACATTCTAGGAATTTAAAACATTCCTATCCAGTATTTGTACAGAAAACAATGTCATCACTTTCAAGATAACCTTTATGAACACCAAGCTACTAAAATATTCCTGAAACCAAACTTACATCGTAGATTGCTTTTCACTGTCTCCAGTACTATTAACTTAATATTTTCATATACAGCTTGACTAAGAATCGGCAGCCCTTCATTTAATGTTGCTAGTTACTCAGATATGAATCCCAGGTAATACAATATCAAAGCAGATTTTATTTTAAAATGTGAATTAATTCAAATAACTTTATCCCTATCATTTCTGTTTACAAGCAAAGTATTACTTTGTCTGGGCTTACGTCATCTTCAGTGTCTGGGATTGTGGGCAACAGAGCAGAGCGAGTCAAACCCCAGAATTTTTGAGGTGACATGTCTTTTTTGGTAGCTGTAAATTTCCATCCAATATGGCTTGCGCAGATCCTGCACTGGGCAACAGTCCAGGCATACCTACAAAATTGAAGGTACCATGTAAGCAGACACATTGCCCTACATATAGTCTATCATCAGGTAAGCCTACTATCCCAACATCTAAGGACTGAGCTGAGTACCTGATCCATTTGCATATTACACTATGGTAATGCAGCAGTATAACTTAGTGACTTAACTATGCTCATAAATGATGATGCTTTTTTTCTTTTAACACAATGGGTCTTACTGATATAAACTGCTGGTTTACATCAATATAATATTGTTTGTATTACAGTTGGGCTGCAAAACGGCAACCACCTGAAGAAATGTACACTGATGTCGGAGTTAAACCTTTATAAGCAACAGTATTCAACTCCAAAAAAAATTACCAAGAAATAAACACTACGGGCTCCGTTTTCTAAAGAATGCTAAGTATAATTTCAAGCAAAAAGGTTCTAGGTCCAGAATAACAAAAGCAGCCAGTAATCTATATTCAGCCTACATCTAAAAATGAAGGGCTAATCCAGAAATTGGATTAAAACATAAATGTGGTATGGCTAAAGGAACCCAACAAGTTCCCACATGATTCTACTGGTCTTCAGGTAACACTGTGTTAAAACATTTAAGTTATACAATGGTTGCTGCATCTTTTAAGTTTATCATTGCTTGGGACAGTCTCTGGTTTACACATGACAGAATTTGATGGCACTGTGGGTTAATGTGCTGGACTTCAGAGTTGATTGAAACCCGGTACAGGGTCACTGTGAGTCAGAACTGACTCCACAGCACTTACCAAATTATTTTCACTGGGTAATTAAAGAGTTGATTGACAGCAAAGTAGGTTTGGAAGATACCAAAGTTTACATTCAAAGAAACTATGCAAAATGTAGCTGTTTCTAGCCATAAATAGACCATGTAAAATGAATACCTTTTACTATAATTCTATCAACTCTGCTTGGTAGTCCGGTTCTTTTCTACCCAATGAAAACAAAAATGAAAGGTCACCGTAATATTACCCAGGAAACCAGCTGTGCACTGTTGAAGGTCGCCCTATCAGATTCAAGTTGCCAGCCTTGTACACAGTAAGTGTCTCATGCACGTATCCATGAGGATTCACATAAGCTGCCATCGGCCCACATAAAGATAAACTAAAACAGAACAAATATGAAAAATTTTTTAAAAACTTAATTATAATGGTTACAATGATAAAATGTTCCTAACACTGGCATAAGACATACAGTTTCTTCTGACCCAAAAGGTTGTATTAGTTTTTTAAACCTCCCTCACTATATATATATACACACACACACACACTATACACAGGTCCCCACCTCTTTTAAAGACATCTTGTGTAGACAATTAAAGGCAGCAGTTGCTTATGACTTTCAAATCCTCTTACACTGCAGCATCAATGCATGTGCTATTTGATCCTTAGCGCTATGTAATAAGACTACATACAGTGTTTGATGCATTCATGTTAAAAGAACTGTTGGGGATGTGGAAGATGTTGGGAGACTTAAGGCGCAGTTGTTTCACGTTACCACGCTCAGAACCTATGAGTAACTTGTGCCACTGTTGCCCTGAGTGACCAGTCAGGAAGAATGCTAGAAAATTCCTTAATGCCAATTAAGTGTTATATAGAAAATGGCTAAGTTCAGATAAGACAGCTGAAAAACATATTCAGGAGTAAATGCAAAACAAAGATCTCACCTGAATATTTCATTTTTAGTTGTTATTTCTGTTTCTTGACATTGTTTACAGCAAAAGGAAGTACACTGAAAATTTAGAATAAATTAGTGAGAAAAATGATGCAGCAAGAAACTTTCCTAGGGTCCTACACAAAGAATAACAAAATACCCTTACAACCGTATTTAAAAATTTAGATTTAAAGGAAAGCAAAAACTACTGTAACCTGCCACATATTTTTATTGTAAACCATGACAAGGATATACTGTTAGTCAAACTGCATGATGCATGATCCCACAGCTGGACCGTAGAGCACTTATTGTACTACTGGGCCTAAGAATAGAGCCTAGTTCTTTAAGCTGATTACACATGGGTGTGACACAAAAATCCACTTCACTTACTTTATTCATGATATCCAGTTCACAGCGAAGTCGTTGGATAGCACTACCGATTTTTAGCAGTTGAATTCTTAATATATCATCAATAGGAAGACAAGCAGCTACTCTGTAAGAAAAATCTTAAAGACATTGTGGGTTTTTCAGTTTTAAACTCCTCAATTAGCTTCCTTTTCAAACAAACCTTTATCTACCTACAGGGTTTCCAAAGTATACGATTTTGAACAATTGAAAGCAAACTACAGTACATCTACTATTAAGCATATAGTCTTAAGAAGCTCTCTTCCCAAACTCCTTCTAGAAATGTCTTCTTTCAAATATGAATCAATCACAAGTTAGAAAAAGTCACTTATGTGCCAAAAAGATTAGAAAGATAGCTAAACAGAAACTAGAAAACCAAACAGACTACATGTAAATAGCTGATTGTTGGAACTGGTATTGCTTCTTTCACAGACACAATAAGAAAATAGGGAAAGGGAGTCTGTAAATACCAGACAGAGTTTGAAATGAGAGGCTGCCATTACAATTTGAACTTATTATGGAAAGCTTGCCTAAAATTAGAAGGCTCACCGAATAAGAACTTTGTTCCCATATTTTCCCAAATGCTACGTTTTATAAAACTACCACTTTTAAATAAACAAAAAAGCTAGACTCGTTATACAGAAAGGCATCAAATAATTTCTTTGACCAAAGGTACATATGGGTTACAAGAAAAACTGACTTTCAATACCTATTGGATTTGATGGAAGAGAATCATCTTTTAAATTTTCATCCCACTCACGCAGCTGTCTCTTGATTCTATCCATTAAGGTTTCCTTGTTTAAAATAGAAGTAGCCATAATGAGATTCACAGACTTAAAAAACAGCTTTTCAACTCTTAATAGCAATGGCCCAATATTGGGTTTCTGAGGAGCGGCTAGTGGGTTTGAGCTGCTAACCTTGCAGTAACCTCGATGGCACCTAACAACATGTGGTAAAATTATCCCGTCTGAGTTCTAGTTTAAATGTGAAGTTGTTTGAACTGCAAGGTCAGCAGTTGAAGCTCACCAGATGCTCTTCGGAAACCTTATACAAGATTACTATGGGTTGGAACCGACTAGATGGCACTTTAATACAAGAAACAGCAATCTTTGCCAGCACTCAATCTGCTTTCCAAGCTCTCTGCCAGCGGAACTTGCCCCTGTGGCCTTTCTAGCTCAGGCTGCAGAGACATGACTCCTATAAGGTGCTGTTGCACTGGCTATTGACATACTGTAATATGGTAGTGGTTAGTGCCGTGGACTTGGTTTTGACTCACAGCAACTGTGTACAGTGGTTTCCGAGGCTGAAAACCTTTACGGGAGCAGAAAGCCTCATCTTTCTCCTGCAGAACAGCTGTTAGTTTCGAACATATAGCACCTGTTTATTACAGAAAAGTTCTTACTGTCTTTCCCCAGTACACACACAAATACTCTTGTACACTGTGGTCTTAAAAATGGCTTCAAAGGTGTTGAACGGTAGAGACTAACTGCAAGCTCTAAGTTCTCAAAAGCTACTCACTGAGCTTTCCTAGGGCTCCACATTTATGGGCAAGGTGATTTGCTGAATGTCTACCTATGTGCTGTGAACCTCGTTTTGGTCTCCAAATTTCAGCTGCCTCACTCAGCAGTCTGTTTCTGAATGAGTCTGCAAGATGTAGCAATAGTCTATTAGCATTATATTCTGAGGGGCCAACACACATAGGATGCATCAGTTAGCACACTAAATAATGATGTTGTTAAGTGCCATGGAGTTGATTCCAACCCATGGCAGCCCTGTATAGGGTTTCAAAGGAGCAGCTGGTGAGCTTGAACAACCAACCTTGCAGTTCTCAAATGACTTTGCAGTCTGACACATTAGCCCACAGCGCCACACAAGGACTCCAGATATAATGATGATATAATGATGAGGAGCTCTAAATTGCTATGTTTAGACAAACACCGAAACAGTATTGCTGTTAAGTGCTGTCATGAGTTCGGACTCAATGCAACCCTGTACAGTGTGTCCAAGTAGAGGACTGATATTCTAAGTGTAGAGCAGTTATGTACTCAAAAGTTTCAAATGGGCTGCTTCACAAACCATTGAGTCTCGTATCTTACACTCAAGTTATAAGCCACTGTAAAAATCAAATGTTAAAATTAAGAGGCAGAATCTGCCCAGCAGGATTTCTGACTCCTACGCCTTCTAGCAAATGCCACTATTTCAAAAGTAAAACACCACAGAGCATGACAGCCTAAGATTTCTTGTAATCCAAGACATAAAAAGTTTTCAGTTACGTTACTTACAGCATCATATAAGGAATACAGCCAGTGGGGCCATGAAGTCAGATTTGCACAGTGAAACTTTCTCTGTGGGGAGGAAAAAATCACTTTAAAAAACCCACAAAATAAAGTGGAAAAGAACAACATTTAAAAAATACTTGTACTCAAGTCTAGACAATGGTGATTTTTACATCCTTCAAATTATTTTACATATATATACATATACATATCTGGAGTCTTGGTATGGCACTGTGGTTAACGTGCTGGATTGCAAGGTTGGTTTGGACCACAAGATCAGTGGTTCAAGTTTACAAGCCACTCCTCCGAAACCCTATACAGGGTCGCTATGAGTCAGAACTGACTCAACAACATTTAACAAAAGCAAAGTATCTGGATTCCTAGAAAAATTTCCAAATTTAAAATGTGAAACTTCAGTGCCAAGGATATCTTAGTAAAAATAAAATGAACCTAAAGAGTTACTAAGCACTTCCAGCAAGATGGCAGACCAGGCAGATGTACTACACAGATCTTCCACAACAAAGATACAAGAGATGAAATAAATGCACAAATGATCCTAGAAGTCTAATCTAAAGAGGAGAGGTCAGAGAAGTGGACTGAGTGCTTGCTGGAAGGTGAAGATGAGCAAATAGGGCGAGAGAGAGAGAGGCTGACTTGTGAACGGCATGACTATCTCATGAGCAGCTTTGGGTACTAGAAGGTAGCCTAGCTAAGCAGATTCACACATGACAGGAAAAGGATCCTCCTCTCTGCTCCCTCCCCACATTTATTCCCCTGGTAACTAAAGGGAAGGCCAGCTCCCACACTCGTCCACCCACTGTTCTCCAGGAGCTCAGACCCTCTTGGTTGGGACCTTTGGTCAGAATTCAGGTGGGCTAAAGCTCCGGACCTATAGAACCCACAGAACCACCAGACAAGCATTTGGCTGCCCTATGGTCCTGACACTGAAACCAGCTTCATCAAGGGCCTCCCCAAACTACTTCCAGAGGGAGGGCCCTGAACATAGGAACTCATCTAGGGACAAGAAGTGCTGTCACATCCCTCCCACACCTACCCTTGAGTTCCTTGGCCTTAAGAGCCTCCAGAGTTTTTCCTCTGAGCCCAACAGCTACAGCTACACTGTTTGTTTTGTTTTGAAGATTTTTTGGTTGTTGTTGCATTGTTTATTCTATTTTCCTCCATTCCCTTGATTTTTTATTCTGTCTCTACTTTTGTTTTTCCTTTTTCTGTTTCTCATTTCCTCCTCTCCCCAGTTGATCTTTATTACTCTCTCTTCATTTTCACTCTCCCTAATTTTTTCTTTTGTGTACCGAAAAGCAACTTTATTTGCAATACCAAAATCTGTAGGCAATCCAAATATACACAAGAGAATGGATAAACCAATTGTGGCTTATCTATGTTATTGTTGGTACCAACTCATAGCGACCTTATGCACAGCAGAACGAAACACTGCCTGATCCTGGGCCAACCTCTATACAAGGGGTAAAATTAATGAAATAAACACAGTGATGCAGGATTAACTACTGATACATGGAACAAGTGCCACCGAGTCGGTTCTGATTCTTAGGTATTTTTGAAATTTTATTTACTCTTTTTCTCTTCTACAGCTCCACTTTCCTGCTCCTTTTCTGTTTTTAACTGTTTTTTTTCCCCCCCTTATTTTTTCTCTTCTATAGCTGCAATTCCATGTCCCTCTTTTGTCTCTATATACTTAACTGTATTCTTTTTTCCTGGTTGCTGCCTGTTTGTATTTCTCTTTTCTCTTTATTATTTTCTCTTTTCATTGTTGGTTCCTTGTTTGTTTATTTTGCTTTTGTTTATTGTGTGTGTGTGAGAGAGAGAGATGGGTTCTCTTTGCTATCTGTCAGAAGTCCTAGGTGTGGCACTGCAGGATAATGTGCTGGACTGCAAGTTCAGATTGAACTACAAGATTGGTAATTCAAACATCAGCTGCTCCCTCAGGAACCCTATATGGGGTTGCTATGAGTCGGAACCAATTTGACGGCACTTCACCACCACCAGACAAGAGAAAGCACACAGCCTAGCCACAACCACACCCTCTGCAGCTCCTGTACCACCTGATCAATGATAGCAGCCAACACCAGCCAAAGCCATCTTAAACTGAGATGAACAAACGGTAGACAAGAACGCCGCACAAACTTTCCATTCTCTACCTATATCCATAGGCGATAGTAAGAGCCAAAAAAAAAAAAAAAAAATCACCAATTAAACACAAATACAATAACCTCACAATGTCCTGGTGACAACAACCAATTTTAGCTTACACGAAGAAACGAGAGAATGACTCACAAAAAAACCAGGATGCAGTTAGAAAATGTTTCTGAGAAAGAAAACATAATGGAACTACCTGAAAAACATTTCAAAAGAATGATATTTAGGTACCTTCAAAGGACTGACAAAAAGATCGAGGAAAGCAAGAACACACAAACAATTTTACATGAATTCAGAAAAACACTACAAGAGCAAACAGACTAAACGTCCATTTTGAAACCATGTAAAACCTGTAATTAGAAATCCAGAAGGTTAATACTAAAATTATAGAAATGGACAAGACACTGAATAAATTCTAAGCAGCAGAAGCTTGGATTAGTAAACTTGAACACAAATCTCTCAATACTAGTATGCTAGAAGAAGAATCACAAAGAAGAACAAGAGAGGGAGCAGCCGAGGACTCTAGATTCAGATTGTAGATTCATGGAAAAAGCCATTGGTCATTTAGATTATTAAAAAAAAAAAAGCTAAAATTAATAGAAATACTGTTAACTGAAGGTACATGGAGGGGATCATAATCATTGTAATGAAATAAGGTGTATGATTTGTTGAATATAAAACTGATGTTCCGCCCTGTAAACTTTCACTCAAAGCACAATAAAAACTTAAAAAAGACAAGAATGAGAATACTCAAAGCTTAAGAGTTATGTGAGACACCATGATAAAATGTAACAGGTGATCGCAATTCCTGAACAAGATAAAAATTAGGAAAAATTGTCAAAGACTTCTTGGAAGAAAATTTTCCAAAAGATAAATGAACCCCAAACAGGATGGATCCCAAAAGAAAACTGCGAAGACACATCATAAACTGTGCAAAACCATAATCAAGGAAAGAATCCTGACAGACACTTGGAAAGAAACAAAATTTTATCTACACAGGAGAACCTGTGTAAAATCTAAGCTCTGATGCCTTAGCAAAAATGATGCAGGTAAGAGGGCAATAACACATTCAAAATCCTCAAATTTAAAAATGCCCAACAAGAATGATATACCCAGTAAAGCTGTCCCTCAAATGTGGTGAAATTAGGACATTACCAAAAAAATCAAGGAAGTATGTTTGTAATGACCAGACTGAGGTCACAAAAAATGCTACAGGGTGTTCTCTGGACTGAGAACCAACAGCAGCAGACAACAATGTAAGATCACCACAATATGACAGCACCACCTAGAAATCAATCCAGAGATTGGTGCTGTTGTTAAAGTGCTGTTGAGTTGGTTCTGACCCAGAGCGACCCTGTATAGGGTTTCTGAGGAGCAGCTGGTGAGCTTGAACTGCTGACCTTGCAGTTCAAACGGCCTTGTAGTCTGGCGCATTAACCCACAGCGCCACACCAGGACTCCAATCCAAAGATAGAAGTATTTAAAGTAAAACAAACCTACAAGACTGAAAATGGAACCAGAGGTAACAATTTATAGTGAAATCAACTCCAAAGCACAAAGCGGGAATAGTGTATATATACAGAACTTCCAAATGCCAAGGAAGTCAAATAGATTTCAAGATAAAATAGACTTTTAGAAAGGGAAGAAAGTTTAATGAACTACAGTGTATATACTGTCAACTGTCCGGAAAAAATACCTGCTCGTAAAAATAAAACAGGAAAATCAGAAATATTTAGTAGAAAACCCATAAGCAAAGTGAACTCAGCCCAGAATATCATGCGGAACAAAAGAAACCAGCAGCATTCCATCCCCGCAAACAGCAATAGGACAGCAATCTAGTCATACCTATGGTTAATTACATTCAATATGAATGGATTAAAAGGCCAGCGAAGGGACGGAGAATAATGGATAAGAAAACAGAATACTTCATCTCCAAAAGATACATCAAAAGGATGGAGACAGCTTAAATTTCCATCAGCAGAAAACAGTTAAAGTTTGGTGCATACACACAATGTAATGAATGCTATGCAGCGTTGCAAAATGCCAATGAATCTGCACAATACCTCACACAACATGGATGAACCTGGAAGACATTATGCTGAGTGAAATTAGTCAATCTCAAAAGGACAAACATTGTTGAGACCGATATTGTAAAATGTCTTAATAAAATGTACAATCTGTGACTGTTACAAGGTGGGGATTTAATTCAAGAGCTAGAGGGTAGACACATGTTAACATCCGGTGATAAGGCAGAAGAAGAGGGAAGTTAGTAGGAAAGATACAGGTAGTGGGAGACATGGAAGAATATAGTAGCTAAATTAAACTGTTAACTGATTTGCTAGGTGTAAAACTGATGTTCTTTTTTGTCAACTTTCACTCAATTCACAATAAAATGTCTAAAATTTTCCAGTTACTAATCATCATACTACTACTAAGTAGACCACATTTATACACATTTACACTAGTAATTACTTGCCAAGTATCTGCAGTGCAAACCATAAAATACAAACCAAACTTTCTGTAAAAACTTCATGGGTCTCCACTGAATCACCACAGAGGCAAACATAAAAACGGAGACAATTCTAAGTAGAATAAAATACTTGCGACTTCATAATTAAAGTCCCCATTTCATGAAACTCAGGGGAAACAAAACCATTAAATGCATCTCTTCCATTTGTTTTGCTTTGGGAGCTAAACAGAAGCATGCTAAATCCTTACGAAAATGTACATTATACTTAAAACTGTAAATTGTAGATTTATATCAGTTCTCAAAATATAGATCTAAAGTAATAACAATGAGATTGGAATTTAGAAAAATCCAAAGTTCATATGGAAGAGTAAATGTTCAAAAACAATCGAAAATTTTGAAGAGAAGCAAATGTTCTTTCAAAAATAAA